CATATTTATGTCATTGCGTGGCAAAAGTACTTTACATTCTTATACACAAAGCAGAAGAGGTACTTCTAAAAAAGTCATGGGCAAGAAGTTACTCATACAACAGTTGAAAGTTAATGGAATCATTCAAGCACATCCATGGTTCTAGAAATGTAAAACTCAAACGTCTTTGAGCAGTTGACATTAACTCCATGGAAAATAAAAATTAGCCACACTTCTACTTGAGAAGCCACGTAGGAGATCATTTCAGTGAAGATGCTCATACAGTTCCTGAAGAACATCCTTTAAACAGCTCAAAGGTAGAGAACTGCTCAGAGTTTTGTCAGTTTGCAGGGAAGGGAGTGTTGCTTTTTGCTGCCGTCTTATTTCACACTGAGTAATTTGTTCCTCCGTCACCAGTCTCACTGAAATTGATAGAACTGCTTCTGAAGTACTAGAGGTGGGTGGAAGATCAGCATTCACCCCTCAGCGTGAAGTGTTATACATGGATGCCAGGAAATGTAATGAAATACTTACTTTGGAGAGAGGAAAACTTACATGAAAGTTTATGATAATAAACATTTAATGAGCAGCAGCAGAAATGAAACTGGTATACATGTATGAGAATAAAATAACTAAAAATAATAGCAAATATGCTAGGGGCTTGTACTCGTTGAAAGTATGGGTTTGTATTACTTGAGAAATATTATGAGCCTGCTGGATTAAGCAAGAATCATGTGAGGGGGAAAACTTTGAACTCTTAATTAATGACTGTGTCAAGATGCATGGGCATCAAGGGCCAAAATAAGGTTATGTGTGTTATCCCATTTCTGAGATATCCTAAGCTTTCGATGCTCACCTTTGCAACCTACATGTTTCCTTAACTTTTTTTTTTTTTTTTTTTTGGTAGCTATTTATATAGTGCCATTTTACAGAAAATGGAGTAGAACTGCAATTCAGTTGTTTGCTATCTCAATTTACACAAGTCACAGCAGGAGCTAGTAGCAAACAGTAGGGGTAACTGTTAAAATCTTAGTGCTTAGGTAGCTGTGGTAACCATAGTACGTTCCTAGGAGTAGGTAGGAGACCACAATTTAAGCAGAAGTGTTAATTACACTTATAATGAATCTAGGAATGTTGGGAATCCCGCCTCAGCTACACGGAGTGCGCTTCTTTGTGTGACTGCATTTGTTATGGTCAGGTCACAAAGGAATCATACAGATCTGAGAGGATGCTGGCCTGCGCTTCCCCATCTTGATTCTGTTCCAAGTTTAACAGCAAATTACTTTTGATAAGGATAAGTCATTTAATGTCAGATTTTCAAGGATGCAGAAACGAGAAGAGACTCAGAGAGGCACCTCCCCCAAACTGAAAATCTCTACAGGCAGCTCTGGATGCCTCAGTTTCTCACTTGCACAGTACATCAGTGGTATGTCACCTGCTCACACTGATTTTCATTGTTAAGTTTTTTGGGCCTACTCTTTGTGTCATTTTAGTGACAAGTATGAAGAGTCCCTGATTTTGGTTTGGACTCCAGGTCAAACTTAGTTGCAATTCTGGCTACTCCTAAAATACTTTGCCATTACAAAAGATGATTAAATATATTCCATGGGATTAAGAGAAGTTTTGCTTTCTTGGCCTGTTTGAACTCTTGTTTATCCTCTTCCTTAAGGGAAGAATTTCTCATAAGCTAAATATCAAGTGGTATGGTTTTCCTTCCTTCCTTGCAGCATGGTCTTCCCTGTTGCCCCAAATTATTTGTCAGAGATACGTGAATGAAAGTACAAATTCCTTGAGCAGTGAACTGATTGCGTAGAGTGCTGCAGCTCTCATAACATTCTGCTTATTTCTTTGTTATTTTGTATATGTCAGATTCCTTTTCTTTGCATAACATGCCTCACAATTTGTCGTGCAGTACAAGAGTACTTCTGGTTAATCTGATATGTGGTGTTGACATTCAAATTGAAAGTAAGAGCAGGGCACTGTGTGATCAGTTGACATCACGACAATAATATGTGTAGTGAAAAAACAGCCCCTGGGAAGATCATATCTGTATTATCCAGTCTAACATAATAAAGTATTTAAGAAGTTATGAGGTGAGATTGTAGCTCATTAAATCTATTGAATCTATTGTGAGGATTTAAATTAGAATCTTTACCTTCAGGAAATTACAACTCAGGATAGATAATCATGCAGAAAGACTTGCGAGTAGAGAGTCTTGACAACTGTGTGCATTTTTAGATTGCTTCAGATGTATTTTGTCTACATATGTATGTCCATTAGCAGAACAAACCAAAAGGGCCAAAAGTAACCCTAATTTGTAGTCTATTACATTGAAATTAAAAATGAAGAAGTTACTATTAGGGAAACTTTGGCAAATATGTAAACTATGTAGCAAAAAAAAAATAAAAAATCATTTGTGAGAGATGTTAACTGACGCAGTAATAGCTAAAAATAAAAGAAAGGAAAATACCTTTTGCATAAAACACAGAAGGAGGGCCTTCTGTATCCTGTGCCACTCGAAATGGTTGTATCCTAGCAATTTTAGGTAATAATAATAAACATGCCAAAAGTTAAAATGTGGTAGTTAAATAAGCCGTAAAAATATGAGTAATTTGTATTGATTGTGTCAGGTAATCGGATTAAAATAAAATAATAATTGCACTTATTTGTATTTGGAAGAAAATGAAGTGTAGCTGTTCGAGTGGTGCTACATACATTCCATCCTGGAATGAAAATCATATTGTTTTGACTGCGTTATTTCTGTATCCATGCAAACGATCCTCATCACTCTATAGTTCTTACCTCCTTCACACAACTGGGGTTGTGTTATTGAAATTAGTGGGTCTGAAGGCTCTATGGAGAGAGAAAGGGGAGCAGAGATTTGAAAAAAATGAAAGTGCAACAGTCAGATTTAAGAAGAAAGGGCATTTTTTCCTGGTAAATGTTTTCCTAAATGGGAAATTTTCAGTGTGGTGTTTTGTTCGTGTGTTTGGCAGTCACTTGGAATCAAGTGCAGACTTGTGCTACATTGTGGGCTTGGCAATGACAATTTGTGTGTGTGTGGTGCTTTAGTTATATTAGCCCTGGAGGCAGAGTTAACACTTGCAGTGGGACAAGAGTATTTGCAGTCATCAGAGAACTTTGCAGTCAGCTTCAATAACATCATTTCATTTTTTTTCACTTTTTTTAACATTTTTTTTGGCAGCAAAGCTCTTAGTAGAACCATCTGTCTTTCTATTAGTGTTTTTGAGTCCTGTTTTGAAGCTTCTTTGCTTGGCAAAGTCACTTTCATCCTTGGAAACCATTTAAAAAAAAGTTCTGTGGCTTTTTGCCGAAGAAGAGTACTATGCAAAAATTCCACACGGCTGTTCATTTTTGTTCTAAAAGAATACAGTTACTTTGTCTTCGTCTTTCTTTAAAAAAATTAAAAAAATCTCAAACAGGAAAAGAAAAGAAGAAAAAGCAGACATTGAACAGTTAGTTCTAAGGTAACAGTGTTTATAGAGAAGAAGTCATATTTTGTATGTTTTTTATCTTCTGCAATACAGTTAAAGTGCGTGTGCCTTCTAGTCAACAGGATGAGAATAGAAAGAAGAACATGGAAGAAACAAAAAATGGATTGAGTTCAGTGAGCGGAGCTGTATCTACTCTAGCTTTGGTCCCAGTCTTTATCTCCCACTGCAAATATTTCCATCAACAGCACTCTTGAAGTCCATCTTTGCAAATTGCTTCAGGCCATAAGGATGCAGGCAGCACACACATAGGCGTTGACAGGTCCTGCAATAAATTAAGAGGTCACTATCCCGAATTTCTTACCACTTTTCCTCTTTGTGGCAGTATTGGCTGAAGTGAGACATTTCTAGATCTTCAAGAGATTGGATTAAAATAAAATTAAGTTAAGATGCTCTAATCTGAACTGTGGCAGTCAAGGAGCTAGTTCTGCTCTGCAAACAATAATGAAGGGAGTAATACCTGCCTTTGGCTAAAACTACTTGTCTATCAATACCCTAATTTTGTTTGTTAAGGCAATCAGCCGCAAACTACATTTTAGTCTTTGATAATGGATCTATACCTCCAGTGTCTCAGCTTTGCAGCGCCATTGCAAATCTAAGATGACCTCTCTTAAAAATGACTAATTCTCTGCTGACTGATCTCCAGAAAACTTATATTTGTCAGTGTGGTGTTTTTAAAAAGAAATGAAAACCAGCTATTTAACAGTTTAATCTAGCAAACCTTGTGTTCTTCATCTGTGTGAAATACAAAGACAATGTCCAGTTCTGCTAGTTAAAACCCCTGCAAAATTTGGTAATAGCAATAATACTAGATGCCGTGCTATGGCATACTTCCAGTTTTGATGACTAATTTCTGCATGTCTTAAGTCCCCTGCAGTATCCACTTACAACATAATATTTTCCATTTCCTGGCTTACATGGTTGTGTACAGTTGCTGTGCAAAGTTGAACAGCTAACACTTCAGACATAGCTGTGTTGTGTTTGTGAATAAAGTCTCCACGTTTTTTCTTACCATCTGAGATATTATTTTTTTGCACATACCTGTGAGTGCACGCATATAGGCAAAAAAAAAAAAAAAAAAGTAAAGACAGTGCTGTACATTAGTTTTTCACATACTCTTACTTCTGTGTGCTTGGATGTTTGCATTTGGGCTCACTCAGGACAAAACCTACTATTTGAGACAAAGATATTGTTACATAATACAATAAGAGAAGAAGAAAAGGCCACCTTGCAGTCAAAGAGAATGGAAGTATTGTGGAGTGTGGGGGCAGTAATTAATTGGGATGTAGGTATGCATCAGTGGAATCTTTTGATTTGTTTTGGATTGATGTGATTCATATGAAGTGCTTTGATAATGAAGATGAGTTTAAATAGTTGGTGCATTGGAACAGCCCATTATGGAAGAGCGTGTCCAAATCTGACCTCTCAGAAAAGAAGTGAGAGAAAGCACATAAGGAGATATTTTCCCCCTGAAAAAATTCCACGTTTGATTTTCCCTCTCCTGTTCAGCAGGTCCAGGGTCAGCTGCCTCCATTAATGATTCCCGTATTCCCTCCAGACCAACGAACCCTAGCAGCAGCTGCTCAGCAAGGATTCCTTCTTCCTCCTGGTTTCAGCTACAAAGCGGGATGCAGTAAGTCCTGTAGACTTTTTTAGTTGGAAGTGGGTACAAGGCACAATTTAATGCCAGCCTGTATAAGGTTCTAGTCTGATGGACAAAGCCAACAACTTGCACAGATGAGTTTAAAATGCAGAAGTAGTCTGTGTTGAATGAGGAAAGATTGTCAGAGATGAAATATGTTTCAGTGTAACAGCAAAACATTTCACAAGAAAAGTAGATTTGTGCACCTTCTTTCTGACAGATCTTTTTGACAAGTGAATGCTCATGACCATACACACGTACATAGATCTGAAGAGAAGCTATTTGAAAGTTCCCTATAAATTTCAACGCTGTTGTAAGAAAATATGTTTTTTCCTGAAGCAGCCTGCTTACTATTTGTGAACTGAGGGCCTATTCTAGTCTCTTTCTTCACACAGAATGCACATTAATCTCAACAGGGGTTCTGCACAGAGATCAAAGAGAGCATATGCCTTTCAGTTTGATGGACTAGCACAAACTATATTTATGAGAGACTAACACAAAAAAATATAGCATCTACTTTTTTTTTAATCTTTGAAAGATTTGTATTGTTCTCTACCTCCAGATATTTTTTTGAAATTTTGTTTAAGCCTTCCGTAGAATCTCATGTTCCTGTCAGCAAGATGGAACAAATGCAAGTTAAAGATTAACTGAGGATCTCCATTTCCATGAATAGACTTAGCTACAGCATGAATTTCAGTCTTGTTTTCTTGTATTTGTGCTTCTATAACTCTTCTGACTCCAGTTTCCTACCAAGTTATCTAAGACTTGCTTGCTCTACCATTTTCTGTCTCTGTTATGTGTGCTTAGCCTTATTATATCCATGTCAGTGTATCCATCTGCATCATTCACCAACCCACAAATTCATCAGTTGTTTGAGTTACTCAGCAATTGCCACTGCAGCAGTTTCATAAAATTAGTACTTAAAAAGATTCCTTTATTTAACTGGCTTAACCAATGATTTTAGATTTCTTTCAGTTCCCATAACATTATAGATACTGTACTTGAGTGAAAAAGTTGAGTTGCTTTGGCCACAACTGCTTTTTCCTAATATTTTACAGACTAGGACCACTGCTGAAAGTTACTGTTCAAAACACTACACGTCCCTCAGCAGCTGCAGTGCCAAAGCATAGACTCATTCAGTTCTTCCAGTGATTTTACACTCATTCTTTCTTAAATGGGAGAAGCAGTGATTCACATTACAGAATGTTTAACTGAAAGCCACACTGAATATGATGCTAGCAAAACTGTAGGCCTGGAAATGGTCAAGAAAGCATCCTGTTAGATTTATCTGGCATACTGAATCATCTCCATGTTAAAGCAATTGGATTTGGATAGAAAGAGTTGAGGTTAGTTTCTTCCTTCTTTTTACTGCATGTGCATTAACTGTAAGGCTGTCATATAGTACCTCACATCCATGAAGTACATATGACATCACGTATTTGTGTAACCTTGAAAATGAAAAACAAAAAAGAGCAAAGTGGCTGCTGCTCTTGGCAGTAAGGCTTGGAATTAACAGCATGCCAAGGTCTAGGACTGAGCAGAAGCCAGTGGAAAAAGGCAGCTCTGTGTTTGGTGATTCCCTGGCATGTTTGACTGAATTTAACTGAGAAGCTGAGGAAAAGTGATAAGTAGTCCAAAGGATTTTTCTTTTCACTCACAGTTTAGTGTAAACAAAAGCATATACGGATTTAGCTACACCTAGAAAGCTTGTAGCAGGGAAGAAAAAGGAAGTGCCTTAAAACTATAACATGTTCACATCAAGTAATGTTTTTGACAAGCCATTAAAACATATTTCTCCCACTTCTCTGCTTGCCCTTCTGTTTATCAGGACTCTTGGCAAAGATGTGGGAGATTGAAAAACAAAGAGGTTTGGATAGCATTTTCTAAAGTACCTGTGTGATTTTGGAGGCTAAATCTCTATTTGAAAAGACACTGGGATCTAAGTCTCAAGGATATTTAGCAAATGTTTATACTGTTTATACTCTGAGCTTCAAAACAGTTACCTATGCTAGCTTGAAATGAACTAAAGTTGGTACCAGGGTAGCAGTTCATCGGAGAACTTAGAGGAGATCAATTTGCACAACTTTTCAGCACATTAAATACCTAACTTTCACAAAGTTCACTTTTGCAAGAAAAGCCTTTGTATGAACTTCTGAGTATCTCATTACCTGCATCTTTGTCTGACTGCTTATTAACTGCACACAGGGACAACAAAAATCTCTATGAGACAATTCATTTCCAGTCACAAATAACTAAGACTCATGAAAATCAGTTCTTACAGAAATTCAGATGCTGTTTCTCCATAAAAGAGATGAAAGTCTGAAGGAAAAGGAAAGGGAAATTGCCATGACAAATAACCTGTATTTTCATAAATAATTATTGATGTTCAATACCTTGGTTATAGATAACTAAGATGTCTGCTTGGCTGGGAACATCTTCAAAGGGTCTAAGTGTTTATATTGTTGTGTGCCCTGCCTCTTTGAAAAATAACTTCTCCAAAATTGTGTCTCAAATGAAAGAGCAGGTCATCTGTGGCACTCAGGCCTCTAGTCAGTTGCGCTGTTTCACACATCATGGGTTATCTGATCTGCCTCCTTCTTCCTGCAGGCCAGGTGACTGGAGAGATAACTGCCTCTTGTTGCTCATCTCTGTGCCTCTAATTTCTGGCAGTCTGGCCTAGCTTTAGCACTCAGTAACCTCCTTCTGCCCAAACTGGGATAGCAGTTGAAATTCTGTTAAAATTGCTTAAACTAAGCTGGCTAGTTTTAATGGAAACATGTTGGGAAGCAACTAACCAAGCTGTGGTCACAATAGTAACCTTTGGCAGAGGGCTGTGAGTTGAGATGGCGGCCTCTTCAGCCAGCACAGCTGCAGCTGGAAGGGAAGGTGTGATCAAGCCTTGAGGTTAGCGAAAGAGAAAAAATAGTGGTATAACTAGGTACATCATTTTTGCCTCATTCAGCTTAGGTAATGAAGCCAAATTCATTTATTCAATGCCTTTTGATTTGCCTGTCCATCTTAGAGCAACAGAGGGTCAGATGTGTGTTTCCCAGTGCTTTCAAAGAGTATGTGTGGTAGGGTTCCTCACTCCTTGTTTCCCAATTAATTGCTTAATGAGAGAGAGACTGTGGAAAGGAAGAGTACTGTTTTCACCATGCATACTTCCTTTTATGAAGGTTGGACTGCAGATAGGGCAAAAATAATCATAGCAGGTCATAATGGGTCCATTTAAATTTCTGTCATGACTAATACCCAAAGAAGAATAGGAGAACAGGGCAAGATCATACCAATACTTTGTACCTATGTACTTTGCCAGTTATTACAGTTATTACAGTTATTTGGCACTCAAATCTTCTGATGCAGTGGTTTATCCGCTTAGGTTCCTATCTGGCTGGAAATATTTTATAAGGCTGAAATTCTAAAGAGAATACAGCAGTATCAATCTCTAATACGTACTCAGTAAATTAGTCACTTCTCAAAATATTTTCAAAACTGGATAAATATAGGGAGGAGATGGGTAAACATTTTTTCTGTGGCTACATGGCAGGTCATGATTTTCAGCTTCCAATGCAGTGTAGTAAATTTTCTTTCTTTTTAACCATAGCAGATCATGCTTGGGAGTGGCTTGGTTTTTCATTTTGTTTTGTTTTTGAAACAGATGGTTTGCATTACATAAGAGACAATTTACACAAGTTGACACTTCCCCTTTTTTCTCTGTGGCATATTGTGTAGTGGTAAAGTTGGCACAGAAAAAGGGAGGAACTTCTATTAGGATTACATTTATATTTGAGAAAAATATGTATGATCTGTGGTTCCAGTTAATTCTTCATCTCCATACCTAGACAGAATTGCATGTAAAATATTAAATAATATTATAAAATACTGAATGCTGTTATTTACAACTACAGCCTATTTTCATGTGAAAAAATAAGTTGAAAGTATGTGATGTGGCTATATTGTCCATTATCAACAAGAAAAAACACCAGTTACCTATCTGTTTGCTACGTATCTATTCACTGTGCTATTTGGAATTTAAGTATTTTAGCTTTTATGCAAACCTCTTCGTATATTATTATATACACAACGTATAATATTTATATATTTTTAGATTTAATTAATATTTATATTATATATAATCATGTATGTCAGATAGAAATCTCTCAATAAAGAGTGGATGCTTCAAAATGAAGTATTAACTGAGTGACCTGTGCCGTGTGCAGTCGTTAAGAGTTAACCCCAGTACCGTACGTATAGTAATAGATGGGGTTTTACTGGCAGTGAGCTCCTCCCATTTCAGCTGATGCTGAAACCAAACAGCCCGAATACTGCATTTCCCAAACTGTTGTGAAGCTTCTCCCACATTTAAACTATGCAGATCAACTCAGGTAACCCTTCTCATTTGTTCTCAGGAAGCAGTGCTTAACCCCATTGTTTGTTACTGCTGCTGTTGCTAGTTAGCTCCACTTGCGATACTTGCTAGATAATTCATGACTCCCAGCATTTTCACGATGGTGACTGAAATGTCAGTTCGACTGTGGTCTGAGGAGCTGTTGCTGTTGACTTCACCGAAGTCAGATTTCACACCAGATGATACAGATCTTCTAGGGCCACTCTTAGAAATAATTAAAATTTATTTAGAACTAATTAATATTTGTGAAATGCTTCGAAAGCATTAAAACAGTGTTAAGTGATAGAAGATAAGTTTTGCAGTGTGTCCTCGAAAGAAAGCATAGTTCCAGCTCAGAAGGAGCTGCTCCACACTTGTAGATAGCATGATCCTTTCATGAATGTCCATGTATAGGTTTGTATGTGGAACATTAAAGTGAGATAATCTCCTGTATAAGTGGTAATAAAGGGAAGGAAATAAAAAGTTGTGAAAATGAGGAGGCTTTTTTGGAGAACTATTTACAGGAAAGGCAGAAGGGGTTAAGCTGGGAACAGTGGTAAATTTCTTATTCTTCACCCAATGTCAGCAGCAGAATGCATGGAGG